AAGTATATATTTCCTTGCAGCTTTAAAACTCAGTGAAGTTTACTTTTTCTTAGAGGTCAGCAGGAGAGCATCTTTCTGATACTTCATCTTCTTTGAAAGGCCAAGGTAGTGGGGCACTACTGTAAAGATACCCAAAAATGTGGAAGCAACTTTGGAACTGGGTAACAGAAGCAGGTTGGAACAGTTTGGAAGGCTCAGAAGAAGACGGGGAAATGTGGCATAGAATGTACTACATGCCTGTAAGCATGGCATGTCTAACAGCTACGTAGGCTTAACAAAGCTATTAGCGCACTTATTCTTTAACAAGAAACAAAACTTTGAAAAGGAAGTTTTCTACTTCCCACAGCCTGGCTGCCTTAAGAGAGATTCACTACAGATGCAAATTTCTCCCACCTGAGTCTGCTGACCCTGTGGCAACCATTTCAAAATATGTCAAAGAAATATATGTTGGGCTAAAACGTTTTGATTTCCTTCAGAATTGACCATTGTATTGGTCAAGTGGAGGTTATAGTCACTGGTGACATTGAAAAGATCATTTGCATTGGAAGTATGTGGATACAATTTTGATTGGGGTGAGTTTAAGAAAACAGATGGAGAGGAAATAGAAACAGGAAATAGAAAAAAAATTGTTTTAAAGATTTTTGCTTTATATGGAACAGAATAATGAAGGTGCATTTGGTAGGGGAATGGGTAGACAAGGAAAGGTTTTTCTTTTTAAAATAAGAGATTTTATACTGTTTGTACTGAAAGCAGTCATACAGTGGAAATGGAAAAATAATGGAAGAAATGAAAGAAAAAACTAAAACAATTGCTGGAAGTAAACACTGCCCCTCAAATCCTCCTTTGAGGAAATATAGCAGAAAATATTATGAAGGTGTTCTTGTCACAGCATTCAGTTTAGGTTGGTGGCAAAGCAGCAAAACTCATTTTCATGAAAGTGGACAGATGTAATTGTGCAGCTAGGCACAAAACTTTGCACAGGTCTGGTTAACTCAAGAGTAGATTTTCATGTAGCTGGAGGAAAACAGGCACAGGTGCCAATTCTCTAGGCAATCCCGCCTCCTACATTTTAAATTCTTTCCTAATTGAGCTGTTGATAATCTGTAAGGATACCGAGTTGAAAGTTGTCCTCCAGGTTCTTCTAGTGTACTTACAGGAATCACCCCTTTAGTGCTACAGACAGCTGAAATCACTGTCAGCAATAACAGATTTCCTTAAGCCACCCACCTGGCATTTATTCCCCCCCATTTACCACGGGGCAGTTCTTCCATTATAACCAAAAGGAAGGCGGGAAGATATACAAGAAGTTTGCTAAATTTGCTTGGGATGATGATGTAGTTTTTGTCTGGTAAGTACTGGCAGCTGAAATCACTGTCAGCACTAATAGAGTCCCTGAAACAAGCCACCTGGCATTTATTCCCCCAATTTACCACAGGGCAGTTCTCCCATTATAACCAACAGGAAGGCAGGAATACGTATAAGAAGGTTGCTAAATTTGGTTTGGGAAGATGATGTCGTTTTCATGTGGTAAGTGCTATTTTTTTTCAGTGAAATTAGAAGGAAGGCATCAGTAACAGCGAGACAAAAAGGAAGGGTAGATAGAAGCTTTTAAATCATCGTCTCAGAAAGAAGGAAACTCAATTCATTTGGACCGTATACTAGGCTTGCTAAATCAGTGCTGTGTGTCCACTTGAGGTTTGCGGTCATGCACTAAAAGGCCAGAAAATCTTTTTCTCCAGCCATGTTCAGTTGCTTGGGTACAGCTATGGTAAACCACACAGCTATTTAGGTTTTGCCAAGGTGGATTTTTAAAGTCCGAGTATGATAGAGAAGAAAGAGAAAGATAGGAGTGAATATGAAGAAGAGAGTATAGTGATGAATCATAAAATTGCAGCTGGGTAAGGAAGAATGCCTAAACAAAAACAAAGGAGTGGCATTAATGTTAGGTCTTTGAGTAAAAATGGAGCTAAAAAACTGCAGAAATAGTGGTCACTAGAGAAAATAATGTTAAACATTTGAAGAATTTCAAAATTTCAGAATAGGATTTTAAAGAACTGCTTTGCAACAAAACAGGGGCATGGTCATTACCTGCAGATCATAACCACTACACTTGGCTTTCCCCTATGTGTCATTGTAACCTTAGTCTTCTCTGAGAACTGGCTTTGTGGTCAGAAAAGGAGGAGTATAGGAAATCTAGTGAGTCTCAGCAGGACATGAGAGGTGGAATGTGGTGTTATAAATTCTTAAAATGCGTAACAGCTCTTTTGAAAAAGTACTAATAAATTACATTTGAAAGAAGTTAGGGTGTTTGTCCTGTGAAACGTTTGTTGAGCCTCTAACTTCAATAACTTTTCAAGAGTAGTGCTGTTAAGACGGAGGGGCTGACTTTCTCATCCATGGGATGCCCACATCATGATTTGAGAGCAAGTGTAGTTATTCGTGAAGATGAGGTCTAAGTGATTAAGCTTAAAAAACAATAGATGGAGGCTTGAGATTTTAGTGTTGGATGCAGCCTCCATGAGGTTGGTCAAGTCAGACAAATAATAACAGGAGGATGGTAAAAAAGCCATTGAGACAAGTGCAAAGGACAAAATAGACAAAATCGGTAGTTGACGAAAAGAGGGGTAGGGAATAGCATAGTCTGGTGTGTGTATTTGAATTGAGTTGGATTTTTGAGGGAGAAGGAAAGAGAAATGATCCAGAAGCATCTTGAGGCTTCAGAAAGATTTTTTATTTCAGCTTCCTTTGTGAGAGCTACAGGGTATATATTATTATTAAGGAAATGGCAGGTTTCAGTTACAGCAAGGAAGACAAACGATCGGAGAAGCAGATCTAATTAAGATACTCTGCTGGTGAAAGAATTGATTTCCAGAGGGCAGAAGAAGAGTAGAGGGCTGGATAAAAAGTTTTGGCTTTCCCTGTTGGAGTCAGCTAGAGAGTTTCAACTGATTTTTCTGCTCATTTCTGTGGGTACTGTGGAGAGCAGGCACATTATGTAGGATGAAAACAAATTTCCACACCACTTTGTCCGTGCATCAAGCCTGTGCAAACTCTTCTCAGCATTCCTAGCCTTTTGGTCTTCTCTGGGTTTTCACATGCTTGTCTCTAGGATTCATCAAGTCCAGAAGGGAGAACTTCTTACATCTACTCCTTGTTGAGCTCCTGAACCAAAAGCTCTACCCACATCTGTCTGTTGTCAGTAGCAATTTCTGCTTAGCTCAGGAGAAGCAGTACTGTGGGGTGATAAATGGGAGTGGCAGGGAGGCTGGACACATCCAAGCTTCCTCCCTCCCATATCCATTTTCTCCTCCTAACCTCAGCCTTTTCTAGGAACTATTTCATTTCACATAACCAGATAGTTTACTATTCTCAGAAACTTAACAGCTTACCTTTCAAAGCAATTTGCAATTTCAAGAAGTAAATAATCGTCATGTACTCTTGAATGAAGAGGCTGGAGATAGGAATCAGGATAGATGATGTCCCCTGGAATGCTGATATAGAAACCCAAAGAGTAAAGGATCAGGATATACAAATTGGCAAACCATAGAAGAAACACCCATAGCCAGTTAATGTAAGAACATATGTACCTCGTGAATAATAAAAGTATATAAATTAAAACTTTTTTTTCACAGATTGGTAACATTGCTGACAATTGTATGGAGAAGACAGTTCATAGTCTCATAGGCTGTTGGCGGTAGTGGGTAGGGTTTTAAGATTTTAGGATGGCAGTCTAGAATTACTCATGAAGTTTGTGGCAGCTACTGCTCTGAGGCCACTGCTAACTCATACTGTTACTGGGAAGTTTGGTAATCCTGGGCCCCTAGTCGTTTTGAGAGAAAGATCTTGGCCAAGAGACAGTCCAGAGATAGCAGGGAGCTTTATTGAAGGGAGACAGGGAGCAATGTATTCAATTAACAAAAAAGAGAGAGAGAAATAGGGAGCAAAATGTTTAATGTGGAAAAAAAAATGAGTATATTCCAAGAGAGGAGCGGCTGATACTGCAGGGAAAGAGCAGCTCAGCTGCAGTGGTGCTTATTTAAAGGGACAGTACGCTCTGAAAGACAAGGTGGAGCGGGCTGCTGAAAGATAATGATCCAGGGGCCCCATGAGTTCTTTGTTGAGGTTTTTAATATGATGGATTATTCCTTGAAGTTCCCACCTCTGTATTAAGTCTCCTCCTTTTCTCTTTGTCTAGTTTTCCTGCTTCTGCCTTGTGTCCCTGCTTTTTCCTACCTGGTTCCCGGCCCAGGGTTGTGGGGTTCTCCCTTACTGTGAGTTGATATGCATGTGCCGGCCTGGCATTAGGTATGAATTCTACCTCATTCCTGCCACCCCAAGAAGGTTGTATGGTGGTCAACTCTATACTCACTGCTCCTGGCCTGTGTGTCACTTAGGAATTTCTCTTTTGCCTTTTTCCCTCCTTAGCAGAACCCAGCTAGCTACCTTGTGACAGGTTAATTGCAGAGTGAGGAAAACTGGGTATCTTAACAGGCGTCATTCCTTCTTGCATAGGTATTTCCCCTCCTCTCCGCTCCTATCTAGTGTGCTTGTTTTGGGTGGTCTCTGGGGTGTGAGATTTTCCAGATCTCCCTTTTTCTCAGAGCCTCCCCCTCCTGTTCATGTCTAACTATCTGTTTACTCTAGCAACATGAAAACTTTATGTGGACAAGAAAAAGTGGTCCTTCTTCAAGATATTTTATGGCTTTGACCAGAAATGTATGATACTCATTGTATGAACAGTGCCCCTAAAATTGTATATGGCATAACCACAGGCAGTAAGCTTGAGCTGCTGGTTGGCCACCACCAAAACTCTCAACTCTTATCTTGTAACTTCCCCTCTTATCTTTTCCAGCCTCTCTATAGGTAGAACTAGCCGCAAGGCCCAGTTCTGTCCAAAGAGAGATAAGAGAATGTCAGCTGGAGACTTTTTTACTGATAAAAAGCATGTATCACAACAAAAAGAGCTCCTTTTGTTACCCTTATCTCCTACTTGCTTCCAGATTGGGAGGCTGCTGTGTATGGATAAGATGTCTGCTACAGTCAGCTTGATACCATCAGAAGGACAAGAGAATTGCAGAGACATATATCCAGGATTCTGATCCAGTTGAGGAACCGAAATAATATAGAACCACCTTCAAATTTCTTATAAAGAGAGGTAAGTAATTAATATTGTTTTGTACATAACATTTTTAGTTGTGACTGAAAGTATCTGAACTGATCTTGATATCCCAACATCATACATTTATTATATGGGAATTTTTGCAAACAATATAAGTGCAAAGATGTTCACTGTAGCATTATTTATAATAAAATACATAGAAGCAAAATAGTCAAACAATAGGGAAATACAAGCAAAATAATAAACAATAAGGAATTGTTTAACTAAATGTGGATCATTCAATAATACAATTCTACTTAGTCATATTGCCCAGGCTGGTCTCAAACTCCTGGGCTCTAGCTAGACCAGTCTGGGCACTGTGGTGAAACCCTGTGTCTACAAAAAAATACAAAACCTATCTCTACAAAAAATACAAAAATCAGTGTCAGAAATGAAATCAGAGCTCCAGAGGGTGGCTATCTGACAGAAGAATTTGAGGAGCCCCTTTTCCTGGCAGCTCACAAAGAGATGTTGGACCCGAGCTATTATTAGTCTGGTGAGAAGAGCTCTTGACAGCTCATAATAATAGGAATCAGCAAACAGCACTTTCCAAACAAGACTTTGGTCTTAAGGAAAAGAACACTGAAGTGTTTATGAGTCTTGCTTATTAGGTTTTGAGCTTCTTCTTGGTTCCCCTCTTGGCAGTAACCTGAGTGCTAGTAAAATCCCATGTGGTAGCAGAGAACTCTGGGCATTTAGACAACTGTCTGCAGGTGCATTATGATTCACACTTTAACTGGATACCACTTGCTAGGTAAATGCTGTAATAGAGAGTTACAAAGAATAAATTAACTATAGATTCTTGGTATTTTCTGATTCCTGGGATGGCCCCTACGGTTTCATGATCAGAGGGTGTTTTGTATTTATTTCAAACTACTAATCATTTACACACATAATTTCAGATTGTAAATATCAGATTTGATTGTGCCATTATTTCTCCCATTTCTTTCTAAATTCTTGTTTTGGCAATCTAACTCCTTTCAAAAGAAACAATAGAAACCCCAAAATATAAAACAAGTAAGAGCAAATGAATATGACTCCATAGTTTATTAATTAATTGTAATTCAGGTGAAAATAATCACTGTTTAAATAACCTTAAAAGAGAAGAAACACATTCTGAAACCCATGTTTGCTTTGTATGTTTGTATGTCTGTAATATTTTTATGACCTGAATTTATTTTCCAATTTTTTTTTTTTGCCCAGTTTTAAAATTTATACAACAAATGACAAGAAAGGCACAAGAAAATTTTCAGTGTTAGTCATAGCAGAAATGTAGTTAAAAACCTGGGGCCCAAGTGCCAGGTCTGCCACACACTGGTTGTCTGACTTTGGAGGTTCATTTAACAGCTCTGGGCAAGGCTGTACTTGTGCAATACCCTAGAGTGTGCACTTGCCCAGCGTTCTGGAGGGAGAGGCCCTGGCCATAGTGTGATGTGAGCTTTTGGGGCCAGACAGGGCTGCTGCATCAATCCTTAATTGCTACTTTTACTGGTTGTGATATATAACTGATAGTTTTCAGTATATTAATAATCCATTATGAAAAAGAACATTTTCTCCTAGTTATTCTGTATATAGACCAGTTTAGTTCTGCTGTTTTAAAAAATATTTTATTTTTGAAAATCAGTCCACTGAGCCATTGCTGCAGACATTTGCCTAATTTGTGATCATATTGCAAACCATTTAAAAAGCTACTTTATAACTCAGATTCTTGTTTTAATTCTGAAAAGAAGCTGAAGACTGCAACATTTTGAGGCAGAACTTAAAAACCATGTATTTTGAGCTATGTGCTTTTAAAAAAATAGCCATACTTTTTATCTGGATTTTTTTTTTTTCTGAGACTGAGTCTTGCTCTGCCACCAGGCCAGAGTGCAGTGGTGTGATCTCCGCTCATTGCAGTCTCCACTCACTGCAACCTCCGACTCTCAGGTTTTTTTCTGGATTTTAAAAGACTGATATATTTTACATAATAAGCCCCAGTTACATTTATCCCCAAAAGAGGAGCAAATTCAGCTTAATCATGCCAGTAACCCTATGTTCACATACTCTTCAGGTCTGAACTCTTAAGAAAGAAGGGATTTCTACTTGGAGTCGAGCCACTGGTTAGCTTTGGTTTACGGTGAGCATGGTCTCTGTTACACATCTACACTGTGCATTCCTGTTTCAGGTACCACCTGATTCCTCAGGGAAGGTTGCCCATTTATTGCATACTAATTGTTAAAAGGAGATGGCCCCATGTTTTGGAGGCCATGTTATCTTTCTCTCTCTGTCCTCATGGGAATTTATGAAAATACCATGTGAACTCCAGGATTTTCCATTTCCATAGTTTAAAGCTGGGGAGGAAGGATGACTTGTGTGTGTAAATTACCTATTCTCAGCCCTGCTACAGGGTTCAGGAGGTCAACTCTACAAATCCTACCACTTGGGTTTAGTCAATGAGAAGCACTGGTAGGAGGTTGGAGGGTAGGAACATAGACAATTTGGTCAGATTGGCCATAGTTTGGGCACTGGCTGGATTTCTGCCAACTGCAGTCAGACAGTCTCTTTTAACCAGTTCTAGTTCTCATTAAATTCTGATAAGATATGTTCTTTCTCTTGGCCCGTCAGGCCCATGAGTGGGAGCTTCCTATGGTTGCTAGTCCCTGGGTTGCTAGTCACTTTCTCTTGTTTCCTTAACTTTGTCCATACCTGTGTAGATGGCCCCTTAATTCAATACAGTTCAACCCATGTGTTTATACTAGATTCCTGCTAGGACTATGGTTAATAAAGTATAAAGTTAGCTTATGCTTTTAGGATAAACCCATATATTCCAATGTAATTTTAATTGAGAGTAAGTCTCTGAAGCATTTGTACTGCTATTAATAACATAATATTTAGATTTCCCAGTAAAGGAGGAAAGATTTGCAGGGGTGAATTCAGGCATCCCTGCATTTCTGGCAAAAGAAATATCCTAGTACTGAGAAATGAGAAAATACTATCACTGACTTCCTACCTCTGTTGTCTCTGAACTGTGCACATTTCCTGGCACATACCAGACTCAGTAAATAATTGTTAAATGAGTATATTTTGAATGAAGGCATAAAATATTGTATTTATCATGCTCATGTAAAATATATAACTGTATATTTTTACTCATTAAATACAGTAATTGCATGTTATGGAAAACAACAAATAATGGATATAGAATAGTTCAAAATATGTATTTTAGATAGCAAAATAGATCATCCCTCTTCATTCTCTTTGCTAAGGTGAGAAATGATTTTCTTACTAATCTTAGTAAAGAAAAAAAAAACACTTTTCTTTGGTAGTTGCTTAATGTGTGGGTCTCAGAGACCAAATAGACAACATACCAGTGGTGCTATTTCAACTCTAACCACTTCCTTCCATTCGTATGCCAGCCTTCCCCATTAAAAATTCAAAGCAGAAAGCCATATTATCTGCATGTCACAGTCCATATCTGTGAAATATGTTTGTACAAGTGACTTATTGTCTTTGCATGAAGTGGCTGGACAAAGGGATGCCTGGTTAAGACTAGTTGTAGGAGGAATATTACTGCACGTGACTGCTTTTGCTATATAAATCCTGGGCTCGGCAGACCTTGGTTGACCTAGTGGGCATGAGCAGGTCCAGGTGAACTTAATGTACAGAAGTGACATTTGTGTATCATCTGGCCAGTCTACAACTTCTAATTCTATTTCCAGTGCCTAGAATTTGGTTTTGATAGCACTGATTCTCAGAGTGTGGTGCCAAGACCAGTAGAATCAGTATCACCAGGAAACTTTGTAGAAGTACCAAATTTGTGGCACATTGCTGAGTCAGAAATTCTGTGGATGAGGCCTGTTTTAAGAGGCTGTATAGGGAACTCTGATGCTGAAGTTTGAGAACCACTGGCTTAGGGCACTGATATTTATTATGCATGTATTCATTAGTGTGAATGTGCAAATTCAGAGTAGGTTTGACGCAAGATGAAAGGAAGTAACAGAATGGATTTTATACTGAAGTGGGAAGGTCCTAATGAGGTAGGAAAGAGTAGACTTTGTTTTATGTATTGGCTTATTTTTGGTACTTCAGTGAAAGCAGTCAAGCCTAGAAATATCTGATATTATAGTGAATTTTAAATGGTCCTTTGCTAGGCAGGAAATTAAAAATGAGATGGGTAGGGACTACAGATTCTGGGATGGGAAATGTTAGTTGACATGTATGCATTCAGGCATGGAGCTTTGTAACATCCACCCCTTCTAAGGCAGGAAAATCTGTGAGTCACCCAGTCCTTTCTAGACTTTCTAGACCCAGCCCAGCCAAACTGGCTTAAGGTTGCTTTTCTTGCCCAGTCTCTGCAAATGTCCATGAAACCTTGGTGTCAGGGACCATCTGGGACGGGTAGGCACGTCTGCCAGGGGTCTCTCGACCTGCAAGAGGGTCCCAATACCTGGAAGAGAGAGTGCACTTGAGCGGGGATCTGGAGGGCTGATAGGCCGTGCCTAAACAGCAAATTTTATTTTTCAAAGGCCAGGAATAAATACACTTTCTTCTGCTCTGGTTTACGTCAGCAAGAGGAAATGCAAATGTATACCTTACATGGCCTATACAATAGAGAAGTCAGATATACAATGGTTGCAAGAGGAAATGCAAATGTATACCTTACATGGCCTATACAATTGAAAAGTGAGATACACAATCAGTGGTTGTAAAAAGTAACAGAATTTCCTGTGATCACAAAGCTTGTTTACATCCAGACATTATTCCTCCTGGCTGCAGGTATCTCTGGTTTGATCTTGTTTTAGAACTGAGATGTGAAAAGGTTTTCTGGTTTTGCTCATCAGAATATCTTTTAACTGGATTCTCCTTTGTCTACTCCTGACTCAACTTAACTTCCCCATTCAGGAATCTCTGAGTCAGAAATCAAAGCCATCCTTTATGGTGGCATTTGCTTTGCAAATATCCCGACAGTTAAACCATTATCTAGGGTACAAGGCCAGTCAGATAAGTAAAGAAAAGGT